TTTTGTTGTAAAATTAGGTGCCTTGGCTTATATTTGGGTCAGATTATACTTGAGTATATACGGTAATATAGCTTTAGAGAAGAAACACAGAAGTGATACAGATTTCAGCTTAAAATTGCGCCCTAAGAAATACAGAGTTTAAAGACCTTTTTGCGACAGAACCAAAGTGTTTCTATTATTTTGTACAGCTCTCATTTCACTTCCCTCTTTTAGATAAAAGTCCAATAAGACAAGAATGCACTGAGATGTGTGTTTATGTGTCATCATTACATCCCTTCTTCGCGTTCCCTTGTCCAAACTAAACATACCCAGTTCCCGAATCCTTTCCTCATTTCAATCACCTTCTTCCATTCAAAGTTCACTTCTTCAGGTGTTTTAGATTTCAGTTCCCAGAAGCCACAGCTACCATGGCAAAAAACATACAGCAATGAGAGGCTGATTAATCTCTACAAGCTTTCCCTGCTGAGGTCCAGACAAAGACCATGGGTATCACCAGGGATCCAGATGAAGTCCTGGGTGGTGCTTGGGAACCCTGCCCCACTCCTCCCTCTTTTGCATCAAAGACAACCTGAAACCCATTCACAACACCATCTCTTTCCTTCTATCTTTAATAATTCTAAACCAGTCTTGAATCAATCTGTCAACCTTTTGCTTGTGAAACTCGGTGGTTGCTGTCACAGGACGTCCAACTCTTTCTTTGTCACGCAAGTCTGTTGTTGCCACCTCAACATCTTTAAACTTACTCGCCCCACGATGCACAGTACTCACATCAACACAATCACCATAAACAGTTTGCATTCTCTGATGATTCTCTGATGAATCTCCTTTGGGGTGACACCTTCTGCTGTCAAGAATTCAATGACTGCATGTTGCTTAAGTTGCATTGACCGACAGCCTGCGAGGGTTCCATACTTTGCACTTTAACAACACAACCGGTCAATGCTAAAGCTTCCCGCCAAAATGGAACTGTAGAGGAGAGTCTACTGAACAAGCCAGTACCTGCCACATACCAGTACTGCCATCTGTTGAAGAGTTACGAAGGTGGAGGCATTACTTTTCATTCAACCCTCGTAATTCTAAACCATTCATTTCCCATACCCCTTTTGTGTTACTGAGGAAAATGAAATGGATCAGTGTAATTCTGTTTCCATGCAGGGAATGTGTCTCTTATCTCCTCTTTTATAGTATGTTCAACTGATAGCCAACGTGGACATTTCTACAAAGCAGCTTCAGGAAATGTGTGACAATATGTTTCTTTTATTTGCGATATTAGTAATAAAAAAACAGAAAGGTAACACTAGACATTGTTTAAAAGTAATTTTATTTCACGGTCAGCACTGGGCTCATCATAACAGCTGAACTCGTAATTGAATCACACACAGAACTAAAATATTCCATAAATGCATTGGCGCTCATATTGTTAAACCCCACACTGATAGAAATTGACGAGATGGGGGAGGGGGAGGCAAAACTTGTATCTAAATATCTCTTTCTGGCAATAAAACCTTTTAGTTTAAATTCCTCAAAATAATCCACCGTTTTCTCTACACTAGTGAAGGGAACCACTCATTTTCCATTATAGACCAGACAAGAAGCACAACTGTGTTCCTTAGGAAACTATTCCAATAGAAAACCATGTCAATTTCAAAATCTGAACAGAAAAATATAACCTACCTACCACCTTCTAATATCTGATTTTGATTGGGAATAATTCTTAAAAGGAATTTGGAAGTTAGAAAATTACATATATCTATAAGAGACTAACATTTTAACATCCAACAAATGAAACCATTACTATTTCAGATCAATCATGTGTATTCAAAACTTGGGAAGAATAGTTCATAACTGTATTTTGATCAAAAGGTGTTTCCCCTTCATTTTTTTCTTTGTAGGAAAGCAAAAATACACTAGAATTTTTTCCTCTGGGGTGTGCAATTCATTCAATGCTACGTCTAAAATACCAAGTGATATGATTCATACCAGAGGTGAATAACCTGCGATACTCCAGATCTTGCTGGACTATAACTCTCATTAGCCATTTCTAGCAGAGGCAATGGTGAGGAATGATGTGAGTATGGTCCAGCTTGCCCTTTGCTTCAATGTTCTCATTGTAGCTCTATTTTCAGCCCACATTAATTAATCTTTCTCTGTCCATGAAGTGAGTGTTCAAAAAACTAAAGTTTTGATCACTTTTAGCGCAGCTGTTAAAGAGCCCCACTTAGTGGTCTTGTTCCTTTCTTTAGGATTATTATCTGAGAATGAGACTCACCTCGAGTCTCTTGGATTCAGTCTAACAGTTTTCTCTCATTCCCATTAACTAGTAATACAACTGACACAATTCTCGGCCAGCTTTTTAAAAAACACACATTCATTTCCACTTTTATATTCATGCTCAGATTCTCCACCTCTCCAAACCAAAGAGAGCAATAGGTAAATTCTTAATATTATTTCCTGAGTCAAGGGTTTGGAATTTGGTCATACCATGCAATAAAGAGCAATGCTACAAAAAAACTGACTGGCTACTGGATGACAATGCATCTGCAAACTACGTTAAGTCTGTTTCACTGCTTCAGTGTTCTTCACCATCAAAAATAAAGTGTTTCTGATCAACCCAGAGAGGTTCCTGTTATTTTATTTCCTCGAGATAGTTAGTTCAGAAATGGAAGAGAAGAAATGGAAAACGCAAAGCGTCTCACACTGAAAATATCTGCTGACAAAGTGATTTGGAGACCAGGAAGTGGAACTATCCAAAACTATTTGTTCTCCTGGCTTGGGTTTCTAAATTTTTTGACATAGCAAAATAGATAATTAGTAAAGAACTGAAAACAACTGTTTTAGTTCCGGGGGGAAATATGGTATATAGCCATACATAGGTATTTTGCCCAGTTGGAACAGGATGAGAGCTTGCGGGACATCAATCTTATCCGCTCCGGAAGCAATTCAAACCTTTTCTTCATAATATAGATGGCTTATCTTCAGATGAACACAAAACTGTGGAGTGGTTTCACATTTCTTTTTTAATTCATAGTTTTGTCTCTCTTTTTAAATTGGTGCCAAATTAATGAGTTTTGGAGAAATAGAAGAGATGGACATAAATTGCTGGGATCCTGTTAGGTGTTAACAATCTTTACACAAGACTTTTAGAAATTTTGGAATTGATATTTATGCTTTTTGCTCCTGTGCAATAATTGAAAATGCTCTCCAAACCCCACCTTAGATGCCAGGCAGCACCACCAATGTCAGGATTTCCAATGCACAGGGAAGCAGGGTGGCAAGTGAAGAAGGATCTACCCTTAAAGGATGCTTAATATTGCTCTTGCGAAAAGGGTATTTCTTTAATCACAGCCCCACTCTCCAGGACCTTGAAAACTCCTTTATGGTGGCACTGCCTAGATTTGAAGGTGGGTTTGTATAGAGCCACATTAAGAGACGTAACCAAAGGACATATGAAAACATATGCATATGAAAAAATAACATATTTCCAAACTTAACTTTCAACATCTTTCATGTGAAACTGTAATGTAAAATTAATAAGGCTGTCTGTTGTTATTTGTATTGTAAAATGTATACTACTTGTGGGATTAATGTTCTGCTATCCTTCTGACAGGGGCAGGAAGAATTCCTAGTTGTGGGTTGGAAGAATATTCCAAATTAATCACTAAGAGATAAGAGATTGGATTAAATTCAGAAGGCACACAATGTATTAGTTCATTCTCCTCATATTCTTATTTTCTAAATTGTATCTTAAAACCATTTAGTCAGGGATATTCCTTTAGTGGTTATTGAAGTCACCAATGTTAATCATTTACAGTGGAGAGAAGGCAATTTGTGTCAGACACACACACACACACACAAAACTTGGAATGTTTCCATCACTTTCAGCACTGCTTGAACAAAGATTTGATTTGCAACTTAAAAGAATACGAGTAGTGAGAGAAAGCAATGGAATGAACAAGATGGACAAGACATAATCACAACTGGACTAAGTTATCCACACAGCTAACAGGTTGACCGATTTTTTGCACATACAAAGTGCATTGGTTGTGAACAAGTCCTATGATAGACTTATTGTTCTATAGCAAGCATGTGCAAACTTCACCCCTCCAGGTGTTTTGGACTTCAACTCCCATAATTCCCAAGAGCTGGTAGACTTTCAGGAATCGTGGAAGTTGCTGTCCAAAACACTTTGAGGGCCAAAGTTTGCCCATGCCAGTTCTATAGTGAATGTGGCCTTACAGACACCATATGTTTTCTACAAAAGATAATCATTTTCAGTATCGCTTGAACAAAGATTTGATTTGCGACTCCTACCAAAGGTCTGAATTTTGAAAATCACACTCAAGCCAACCAGCCATTTCCTGTTAATGGGAATAAGTATAACTAAGAAAACAAATAGTAAAAACAAAACACAGTTGAGGCACAGTGGTATTTCAAAGCATTTACCAACTTGAGTAATGTGAAGACAGTCCAGAAAGCTGCATAGGTGTCATCACAACATCAAAATAGATGTGAAGAAATCCTTATATTTACAAGTTGTGAGTATGCATGTTGTGTTAGCTAGCCCTCTGAAAACGTCCCACATCCTATGGTAATTGCAACCTGGTGTATGAGTGGTACATCTAATGCCAACAGACCGGGATTGTTTATGCCTCATAGTATTTGCTTGCTAATTACTTGGAAGCCTGTCTCCTATTATCCTCCTTTCACTATAATACTCTGTACCTATACAATTATTCGAATAGTACCTCTTTGTTCATGTTCAGAAACGTTTCATTCGGCTTATCATTCCCATGGTGTCAGCATGTTAAATTTCTGAAGAAGCTCTCATGACTGCTCGCTTGCTTGAGAAGGAAGATCACTTTTTCATAAACGGATTGGATGTGAAACAGATTTGGCATTTTGGTTGGTTTGTGTGAGCCAGCCATGCTAGAACTTGCTGCCAGAGAAACTATACAGAGACCCCCCTCCCCTTTTGTCTGGGACGTTTTGTTTTGTTTTTTTTTTTGGGGGGGGGAGATGCTATCCTTGTTTCCAAAATACGAGTTAACAGGCTGTCTATAAAGAGATTAATCCTAGGCAGTCATTACAAGAAGGAAGGAAGGACGGATGGAAGGAAGGAAGGAAGGATAGATAGATACAGTAGAGTCTTGCTTATCTGACATAAATGGGCAGTCAGAACATTGGATAAAAAACAATGTCGGATAATATGGATCTCCTATTGTTATCCATCTGACGAATACTAACAACAGGAACTCAAAGGGTTAAGGCAAGGCAACACCTTGAGGCAACACCTTGGGGCTAGAGTGGCCCAACAGGAAGTGCCCGGATGTGGAAGAGGCATGTGGAAATCACAGGGGGAAGCAAGGAGGACACTTCCACTTTTGATCCTGCCTCTTTTCCCCCTTTCCTTCCTCCTCCTCCTTGTCTTGCCTTTTTCACTTATTGGAAATGGAAAGAGAGTTGAAGGGGACATGCTGGAGAAAAAGGAGGGCATCGGACAAGTCCGTTGGATAAGATAGAAGGTCGGATAACCGAAGGTCGGATAAGTGAGACTCTACTGTAGATAAGATTTATATACAACTGGAGGTGTCTGAAGGCACTAACTAGGTAAATCTCTGGACTGGAAAATCACCTTGTCTACTCCACTGGGTAACCAGTTTCTTCCTTGCCTGTGTTATGGATAACCACGATTGTAGCATGAGATACAAAACATAGTGCAATATTTTTAGGCATATTACAGGCTCACAGTTCTAAGGTGGTTTGGATGCATGTAAGGAATTGAAACGTAGTCTCTTCATGCACACTGTACCTGAGGAACAATGCACTTAATAACCACAGTTTACATTAGAAAAACAATCGCAGTAAAGCTTTAAGAGCAGGAAGGCGGATGGAATTGATTTGTATTCTGGGCAAGTCCTCCTCAACCATTCAGGGAGTATGGGAAAAGAATGGCTTCTTCTTCTCTTTCCAAGCAATCCCCATCATTCCAAGGAGGCACCTAGCAGCATTTTTAGGGTTAAGAGCATACAAACTGGTGGGATGCAACGATCTTGTGTCCCTGACTTTCCTGCTTCTTTAAGAACGAATGAGGCAAGTTTTGTCTGTGAAGGCTGGTCTATCCTCAAACTCTTCTTCAGTTAGCAGGAAATTACATTTCATTTTCTTTCAATCCTGGCTCTTCAGTGACACATCCTGGCTGTCATCTCTTTCTGTAAAACAAAAGGCAGAATAAAAAGTCACAAGTCACATACTTTTTATGACACAAATTGGTGCACTCTTCTGCCTTTCTGACTAACAGCTGTAACAACAATGATTCCATACATCTAATCTCTTCACAAAAAGCCCACCTGACATAAGAGACTCAGCTCCTTGTCTCACAGAAGCATGCAATCCCAGCAAGTATGTGTTGTCAAAGGCTTTCATGGCTGGAATCACTGGGTTCTTGTGAATTTTCTGAGCTGTATGAATGATCATGTTCCAGAAGCATTCTCTCCTGATGTTTCACCCACATCTATGACAGGCATCCTCAAGAGGTTTTGAGGTCTGTTGGAAACTAGGCAAGTGAGGTCTATATATCTGTGGAATGACCAAGGTGGGAGAAAGAATTCCACAGATATATAAACCTCACTAGTCTTGGCCTATAAAGCCCTATACGACTCCGGATCAGCTTACTTGTCTGAACGTATCTCCCTCTACGTTCTGCCTCGCAGTCTAAGATCTGCTGCGGAGGCCCTGCTCTCGGTCCCACCAGCTTCGCAAACATGGCTGGTGGGGATGAGGGACAGGGCCTTCTCGGTGGTGACCCCCTGCCTGTGGAATTCGCTCCCCAGCTAAATTAGATTGGCATCCTCTCTCCTTTCTTTCAGAAGAAAACTGAAGATGTGGTTGTGGAACCAGGCTTTTGGCTAATGGATATAACGGCACCTGAACACTGAATTGGACCACACGATTGTTATAATGGAAATGCCTTTATGACTGTATAACTAATGTTGTTTTAATTTATTGTATTGTATGATTTTATCTTGCTTTCACAGTTGTAATTATTGCGGCATCAAATCGTTGCCATTGTTAGCCACTCTGAGTCCCCCTGCAGGGGTGAGAAGAGCGGGGTAGAAATGTTGTAAATAAATAGTCAAGTTTCCAAAGACATCAAACAGACAAGAGGTCTTTCTCCCACCCTAGAAATTCCACAGATATATCAACCACCCTTGCCTAGTTTCCAACAGAACCCACAACCTTTGAGGATGCCTACCATAGATGTGGGCGAAATGTAAAGAGAGAATGCTTCTGGAACATGGCCATGCAGCCTGGAAAACTCACAGCAACCCAACAGCAAGTATTATTGCAATTCCAGGCTGACTAAAAGTTATAATGCAGTGGTTCTCAATCTGTAGGTCCCCAGATGTTTTGGCCTTCAATTCCCAGAAATCCTAACAGCTGGTAAACTGGCTGGGATTTCTGGGAATTGTAGACCAAAACTCCTGGGGATCTACAGGTTGAGAACCACTCTTATAACAGGAAACGGAATGACACAAATCAAGAATTAATAAAATCTCATCCTCCCAACATTATTTTGGCCATCCCCAACAAAACATCAGCTTGTGATCAATTTATATTTTGACCGACAACCACTGAGTGGCGCCAAACCTACAGCTATTGCTAGGAGGCTGAGAGAGAAAATCCAATTGCCCTCCCTGGTACTGCACATAAACAACAATTACAACTTGCTATTTCGACCAAGGAGCAGAAGTTGGTTATTAAACTCTTATTTGGTTTAAACCTGCAGCATATACAACTGGAATGAAGATGTGAGATTTAAATAAGCCTGAACTCTGAAACATTTGTTTGCAGATCATAAATTGTGCCCTTTTTAGGATGCATATGTTGTTCATGAATGTGCAACATTTCCTCAAGTTGATCCCTCCCTATGCACCTAATGGAAATATACTGTATATACTCATGTATAAGCCTAGAATTTTAAATGGTTGATCCCAAAATGTGGGTCAATTTACCCATGGATCAATTTAAGTAGTGTACCTTAACTCTCATGAAAAAAGGAATCAACACTACTCTCTTGCCACTTCTTTGAGGGGATACATCAAAGAGCCTCTACTGCCACCATTTACCCACCCTGACATCCAAAAAGGCTAGACACAGCAGAGAGGATAGAGTGGTTCGGTGCTTCTTTTAGCTTCTCCAGGACAGTCTAAGCCACTCATGTCAAAAACAAGGCCCGCAGGCTGAATCCCGTCTACTCATATGTATTCTCTATAGGTCTACTCTGTCGTTGATAATACTTGTACATTGAATTGATTCACGTGAAGAACTTTCTACATTGGAAAATGGGCTATTCTATGTTTTCTGTACTTTCACAAACTACCACTTGAAGAAGCCTCTACATAGTCAAAACTGGTCATTTGTTAAAAACATTGGATTTGTTTAAAAACTTTGGATTTAAAAAGGACTTACAAACTTGGACTTATAGGAATGGATTTACAATATGTGATTTATATAGTCCCCCATGTGGAACATGAACTTTGGATGTTATTTAACTCATAAACTTTGATTATAAGAGAAATGCCTTCTATGAGTATGTTTGTTTGTAATACATTGATTATATTGGGTTGTTGTAGCCTTCGACAATACATTGATAATAGTCTTTTGGATTCTGCTTTAGAAATCTGTCTTTCCCATGTAAGGAAGATTTTGCTTAAGAGACTTGTATTTTGAATCATTATTAAGTATACTTTGAACCTCTACAAGCCATGTCTGTACATTGAATGTTCTATGACTATAGCATATACATGAAAAACATTCTTACGGTTTATATTATTGGATTATATTTTTGTTTATAGTGGCCTCTTGTCCTTGTACTTCGCTGAATCCTTTCTCTGTATCAAATCCCGTCCACCACATCATTTTACCTGGCCCACAAGGCTTCCAGTGCTAGGACAATATAGTTACATTTATACTGCCTTACAATAAGAAATGGCCCTTTGAAGGCAACCATAAGGCTGATGTGGCCCTTGGTAAAAATGAATTTGACACCCCTTGTGTAAGCTCTCAGTTTTCAGTACTGAGAGAACAGGATGGTTCCTTTTTACCTAAGAGTTAATACTGTGTTTTAATAACAAAAAGGAACTATTTTTTCCTAATAGAGTGGTAAAAGGCCCTTTTGAATACCTGGGTGAGAAATGGCAGTGACGGTCAGGATCAGCTGGCCCTGAGACGGCACTGGTGCACCCCCTCTCCACAGAAACCCCATTGACACATCCACGGATCATATCAAAATCCAAAATTGTGGCCTCAAAAGCTGTCCTGGACTTCTCCACAAGCAAATGTGGTAAACAAGGAACAGTATTGCACTCCCACACAGTATTTTAAAAGTTCTTAATCCTATCTCCATATCACTAAAAGACAATAATAGACTGATGCCTCATCCCCAGAATTTGTGATCAACAGCCTAACCAGTTGACACCATCCCTCACTAGAAAAACAGACCAAAACACAATTGAAAAATGTTTGGTTTTCTCCTCCCTCCTTCCCTATCTTCCTTGTGTTTCATCTTATTTTGAGTATAAACCTAAAGGCATGGAATGTCTCTATTAGCTAAATTTACCTAACAGGAAGTAAGTCCCATTGAAATTAGTGGCTCTTTCTTCTGAGCACACCTAGATAAGATTTGTGCTCTTATTTTTGTCATCCTAAGTGGGTGGCAAATAGCAGGTTTCAATCCTCATTTTAAGTAAGGGAGAACTGACAAGGAAGGTTGTAGAAGATTGCTTTTCTCTTTCCTTCATCCACTTCTCGACTATTATCAACTGGGGATTGCAAGACATATTTGTGATCAAATGGATTATAGAATCATAGATTCATACAACTGGAAGTGATCCATTTAGTCCAAACTCTTGCTATGCAGGAGAAGCACAATCAAAGCACCGCTGAAAGATGGCCATTAAGCCACCGTTTAAAAGCCTCCAAGAAAGATTCTCCACCACACTCAGAGGCAGAGGGTTCCACTGTTGAACAGCTCTTATGATCCGGAAGTCCTTCCTAATATTCAAGTTGAATTTCCTTTCCTGTAATTTGAACCCATTTCTCCGAAACCTAGTCTGTCCTCTGCAAAAGTACCTAACACTCCATGGTTATACACATGGCTAACACAGCACTGGAAATCCCCTTTCCTACCAGTGAACCAAATACTAGTCTACTGTGTTTGCTGAACATATAGGGAATTTCCTGTATTGCTTTTCATATCTATTTTCCCTTCTTGACAACGGCCTAACTCACTCTTGTCAGGAACCAGTTCCATATGCATTTTGACTATAACAGAAAAAGGGAGTGAAATCAGATTATTTAACATTTTTGACAATGCCCTGATCTACAAATAACAACAACAATCGAACTGCAAAGACTGGCACAAACCAGTAAAGGTGGTCCCAGTGGTGATCAGCACACTGGGTGCAGTGCCTAAAGACCTTGGCCTGCACTTAAACACAATTGGCACTGACAAAATTACCATCTGCCAGCTGCGAAAGGCCACCTTACTGGGATTTACACGCATTATTCGCCGATACATCACACAGTCCTAGACACTTGGGAAGTGTCCGACGTGTGATCCAATACAACTGCCAGCAGAGTATCTGCTGTGGACTCATTGTGTTTCTAATAATAATAATAATAATAATAATAATAATAATAATAATAATAACTATTATTATTATACCCTGCTTTATCTCCCCCAAAGGGGACTCAAACTGACTCAAACATCCAAACGATAAGATTTTGTAGGTTTGTGAATGTTTGCAATTTCATAACAGATACCCATTTCCCCCTTCTCCTTAATACCATTCAACGCCCATAAAGGTCAGAAACAAAGACACCAGTGTCTTGACCACAAACAGAAAGTTGTTTACTTAAAAGAAAAACAAGCACATTGACTCATCATATTTTCCTTCTCTCTCAATGTATCTGTGCTCTCCAGTTGCCTGTTGACTTATGGTGACCCCATCCATTTCAGAGGATTTTCTGAATATTCAAAGGGGGGTTTGTCAGTTTCTTCCTCCGAAATAGAGCCTAGAGCACCTGGTATTTGTTAGTGGTCTTCCTTTCAAGTGCTAACCAGGGATGACCCTGCTTAGTTTTCAAGATCAGACATATTCATAGGAATTTTCATGTTCTAGTGCTCCAGAATGACTATTCCAATATTCGACATCCTGTTCCTGGAAGAAAGCAGTGGACCTATAACATATTTCAGAACACTGAGGCAGTCCATGCAGTGTTCCAACATCCAGGTAGATTTAACAGTGGCCCTAGTGAACTCTCATGCTAAAAATGATGAACGTTAACCTTTTGCCGTCCAGATACTTTGGCCTACAACTTCATTCAGTTCCACCAACTCAAACCAGTGGTAAGAGATTGCAGAAGTTATAGTCCAAGATCTGGAAGAGTAGACGTTACCCATCTACTTGAGATGCCTCATAGAATCATAGAGTTGGAAGAGACCTCGTGGGCCATCCAGTCCAACCCTCTGCCAAGAAGCAGGACAATTGCGTTCAAAGCACCCCCAACAGATGGTCATCTAGCCTCAAGAGAACATATTAATCAAATATGTAAATAAAATTTCAAAAGTCTAAATCACATATGTGAAAGGCCAACTGTAAATTCACACTACTGTAGTTGACTGAATTTAGTTAATGTGATTATGTAAATTATATGTCCCATTTGAAGGTCTTTGACCAAAATGAATATATTCATTGTACAAATGGCTTAAAAGAAATATGGAAGATAACCTCCTCCAACTATAAAACAGAATATGTAAGTAACACAGCAAGTTAAGATAGGTAACTGATATACCCAATGTCTGCTGTGACTAGCAATACTTTCTACAGGCTGAAGCAAAGTCCATCCTAGGTCTCTTAAGTGGAGGTCCTGGGAATTCATGCCTAGAGGCCTCTCAGATGCCAAGTATGGTCTCCAGGAGCAAAGGCTGGGTGGTCAATCAGTTCTGACCTTTAGTTCAAACTTATACAATACTATGAGTCTTATTCCCAAAATAGATCTGATATCTTGGATAATATCTTTAAAGCAGTGCTTCCCAACCTTTTTTTTTTTTTACCAGGGACCACTTTGACCAGGAGCTACTCTCGAACATTAGTAACAAAAGGGTTACAAATCAGTTTTTGGTCAACTTCAGATTTGGTTTGGTTATTTGGGGTGCTGATTCAGAAAATTGCATTGGATAGACCACATCAGTTCTAGTTTCTGATACAGAACATATGACATCCAGTAGTTGTCATCTGCTCGTCCACAGAAAACCACTGGGAACCATTGCTTTAAAGTTTAGAATAAGATCCATAACCCATTCACTATCACACTGACAGGGGAGCCTCCAGCTACCACTGGATTCAAAATCCAGGGTTTCTTGGAAAACTGAAAATTCCCAATAGTGTTATATAATATGATTCCTGGGACTTATCCACACTACACAATTACTGCAGTATTATCTCATAGGTACAATTCATGGTACATTTTATGGAATTCTGGGCTTTGCATTCTGAATCTGGCTAATACTCAGTGACCCAACCTCAAAAGAGAATCCCAGGATTCCATAGGACTAAACTGTGATAATTAAAGATGGATTAATAATGCTATAATTCTGTAGTGTGGATGCCCCCACCCCAGTTTTATTCACTCTTTGCAGTGCCTCAGACACAAGAAGTCCTCTTTTCAAGAGTTTCAATGTCCACATACTATTCAAGGTAAAGCCTGGGAATAATTTTGGTTTTTAATGTCATTTTCTCAAAAAATTAAATGGACGATCTGTTTAACAGATTAAGCCAGGGCTGGCTTTCTAATTTTAGAAAGAATATGCTTTCTTGTCCTGATGAGTTTGCACCATCAGAAGCTATCCTTAGCTATTATATATTTTATGAGAGAATGCAATATTTTCCAGAAGCCTCAAAAAACTTTCCAAATAAGAAACTAAAATGCTGTTGTTGTGTTCCTTTTGATTTCTATTAGAGCTTGATTCTTCTCGGCACACACTTTTAGCAGCTTGCAAATACTGTTGCTGAAGAAAGAGCAGGAAGAGCAAAAGTTCACTTCTTTAAATATTCTTTGCCAAGGCACACAGTTTTCTGTTTATAGTGGAAAAAGCTGAACTGTTTATTTTTAAAGGAGAGCAATAAACAAGGTGGATAACCCAAACATTTGGAACTTGATGCCCAGATCGACACTGATACTTACCAAAGGCTCTAGTTCCTTGCGATCTATGAGGTTGAGCTCTGTTACAAAATAATAAAAGTGCTTGTAACAGGTGTTGACGTGGGCTTCGGCCCCCATGATGATGATGCGGTCAAAGTGGTGAATGTAGACATGGACAAACACTCTAAAGAGCCTGCACAGGATCTTTTTGCAGATCTGGAGGAAGTTCTTTGGGAACGGTACACCTGCGAAGATAGAAAGGACAGTTTCAGTTTCCATTCCATGTAACCATTGTCCTAGTTCTTAGGGTGTCCATATAATAGGATATCTGGCTATCAGAGATGCAGTCTTTCCATTGGTGGTCTCTAGTTCCTTTGCTTCAAGCCTGCATTAACTATTTCACCTTTAGCATCAAGTGTATACACTACAACAATACAACATCCTTATCCAGTGATTCAATATCCATGGTTTACACACTGACAAGACAGTGCGTAATGGCATTTATTTAATATTTATTTATTTACTGTATTTATAGACCGCCTTTCTCAGCCTGTAGGCTACTCAAGGTGGTTAACAGGGCAAAATTCAATACTTACAATGTCATAAATACAATTAAAACATAACATATAATAAAAATATATAGATAAAGGTATATGTATAAAGGCTTTCCCATCTTCGGCATCTTGGAAGCTTGTGCTCCGTTCCGGCCATTGGGGGGGGGGGGGGGGGGGGGGGGGGGAGGGGTGCTGGTGCTGTCACTCCATCTTCCCTGCCAAAGAGCTTTGTTCGTAAACTTCCTCCTTGGTCAAATCGCCGACATTTTTCTGGCATTTCCTTATGGGTGCCTTAAATACCTCCCCACTTTAAAGCGGTACCTATTTATCTACTCACATTTGCTTTCGAACTGCTAGGTAGGCAGAAGCTGAGCTAAAGGCCAGGAACTCACCCTGCCCCGGGCTTTGAACTGTCAACCTCCTGACTGGCAAGATTTACTGAAGCTGGCAGTTAACCTGCTGTGGTTTCAACATAGACACACTCCAAAAAAAATTTCTGCCGATCTCTCTAGTGTTTCCAATGTGGGCCTGTGGTATGCTTCCAGTCCCAAACAAAATGTTTAGTCAAATGCCATTCCCTACATGAAACTTCCCCACCAATTAGTATCCTGCTCAGATTCTTAAAAGCAAAGTATGATATTCAAATATCATTCCAAAATAGTTATCGAATACTTTAATAACAACAATAACAACAACTTTATTTGTATTCCGCCCTATCTCCCCGGGGGGAGTCAGGGCAGACTCCCTAACAGAAGGCAAATGTTCAATGTCTATACAATAAGAAAAACAAATACAAGTACATTAACAGACTGCCCAAATCCCCAAAAAGTGAATATATAGATCCAAATTGTGGAGTTTGTTTCCAAAAAAAAGTACCAAATTCATCTGATTTATTTATTTATTTATTTTGCAGGAATTGGGGGGAACTGAGGCTCATCCTTTTGCTATGAAATGCAATTTCTCAAGCTCTGTGCCAAAGAGATTCGATACACTTTGATAAATTTTGATCTGTGCATAACACTTTCTTCAATATTTTTTGATTTGGTACCTTTTGGAAATAAACTCTACAATTATACTGAACCACAATTTTCACTTTTCAAGCACACAGGAAAAGACAATACGAGATGAAGATTCTTTCCTAACATAATCCAGCTATGAAGCTTTAATTAGATTTGCCATTTGCCAACTATCTTTTTTGAAACATTTTTCCCCAATGGCAATTGCACCTGTGAATGAGAATACTATAAATAAATATGGAAATGTAGTTGTCTGTAAAATCGCGGATACTGCTGCTAGGTTTTCCATAAGATACTTTCAGTGCATGAAGGAAGAGCCCCTGGTGGCACAATGTGCCGGCAGGACTGCTGACTGAAAGGTCAGTGGTTCAGATCTGTGGAGTGGGGTTAGCTCCTGTCTGTGAGCTCTAGCTTCTCATGCTAGAGCTCACAGATGGAAAATAAGAGAAACCTCCCATAGGATGGTAAAACATCTGGGCGTCCCATGGGAAACATCTTTGCAGATGGCCAATTCTCTCACACCAGAAGCGACTTGCCGTTTTTCAAGTCGCTCCTGACACCAAAAAAAACAAAAAAACAAAAACAAAAAAAGAGCACGAAGCTCCTTACCTCAAGCAAGATCACTGACTTACTGATTTGTCTATATCAACCCCCCATCGGGTGCCATCTTGTCACTGGTGGGGGGCTTAACTGCTTCTATGATGTTGACAGCTGTGCTGGCGGTAGTGTAAACTACCATCAGGTTCAACCAAGCCAGAGTGGTCTCAACTGAGAAGTAGAACTAAGTGCACCCAACCCATTTAAATATGGTGAAACAAATTCTAAAGAAGTATATACTGGCTCAGTCGTCGCCCAGGATAATAAGGACCACGGTGAGTGCTTCTCCTGGGCACCCATTGACAAGTGGGCTACAGGAACCAGGACACACTGCTGTGCAACCAGGGCATGGGCCTGTAGGGCAACTGGAAGCGAAACAACTACAGATTATTATTATTATTATTATTATTATTATTATTCCGTGTCAGGAGCAACTTGAGAAACTGCAAGTCGTTTCTGTTGTGAGAGAATTGGCCATCTGCAAGGACATTGCCCAGGGCACATATGTTTTGATGTTTTACCATCCTTATGGGTACAATGGGTAAACCTGTATTATTATTGATCTACACTTAATATGAGATTTTCAGGATCTAAAATTTTCTCAACTAAGTTTCCCAAGACCTTTAATAGGGGATATCAGGGACTAAATGCAACAGTTTGGCTGCAAAGCATGGCAATAAGCTCTGAAATAAGGCACATATAGAAAGCCAATAGTGCTATCAGCTACAACCTCTAAATATGAAAAGGCTACCAATATACACAAAAGCACCAAACAAGTTATTTTTAATTATTAATAATTCTACCGTTTCCATCGGCACACTGAAAGTACACAACCATATTTCTAAGGAATCCTGAAATGGCCAATAAAAGTTAATTCTTTTCCTGTGCTCCATAAATTACCCCAAGGGTAGAAAAGGCACAGAGATCTCTAAAAGCAATAAAACAGAATTGCTACTACAATAGTTAAGAGGCACCTCATACTAAAATGCATTATCACTGAGCCCTACTGTACCATCTGGAATCAACTCCCCTGATGCTTCTTCTGTATATTATGTCAATGAAAAAAGCCCTGCCATGAAGGATAGCAGACAGCACTTAAATATAAATGATTTGCACAAGTGTCACAATGTAATACCGCAGTGAGCAATTACAAGATAAAGAGCCTAGGGAAGAAGGGCACTCAAATACATCTTTCATGCGCCTAGATACCTTTAGTTTTTAAACTCCAAGTACCATTTTGGGAACTGCAAAACATAAAAGCGCCTTAATAAGAAAGCAACGGTGACGAGGATATGGGAGAACAAAATGGTGACTGAGAAGAAGGATACTCAGATTATGGATGTGACAATCCCAGGGGAAATAAACATTGAAGATGGAGTGTGGAAAAGTTTATGAAATCTCAAAACCCACACACGGAGATTCAGCAATTTAAGATTCAACAAACTGAGATTTAGGATGGAAAGGGGAATTGGCTATTGTTCGCCGGTCAAAGACATCCTGGGAGTAATTCCAAAGTGAATGAATGAACCTGCTACAAACAAGATCACAGCAGTGCCATTATTAAAAGTGACACCACTTGAAAGACACATTATCTGACAATACTTCCCTGATTCCTAGTTTCTTGGAAAGGATCTGAGTATTTGATGGTCGAAAACTAGTCATATCATCTGACTTATTGAAATGACATTTGGAACAAAACAACGATACCAACATATTTTTTACAACATAGATAAATCTGTCAGAGTAAAAGTAAAAGCAATAAATATCAGATATAGATCGAAAAACTTGCACCCAGTATAATAGCTGCTGAAAAACTCTACTCAAAATAGATCCAGAGATGCAGGATATGTCTATGCCAGTGGTTCTTAAGCTGTGGGCTGCGGAACACCAGTGCGCCACGAGGACTATAATCTGGTACACGAGCCTCCTTCCTCTTTATTTTATTTATTTCCGCTCCTTTCGCATCACCTGCCGCTCCTTCCCTGTTGCTGACCATGGCATATGTTCTGTATCAGAAACTAGAGCTGATATGGTCTAGGCGATGCAATTTTCTGAATCAGCACCCCAAACTGAATCTAAAGTTGACCAAAAACTGATTCATAACCATTTGGCACTAATGTTGGAGAGTGGAACCTGGTCAAGTAGTCCCTGGTCAAAAAAAGGTTGGGAACCACTAGTCTACATGGACACAAAAACCTAGACCTTGAATTAAATCCTGGCTATTCTCATGATGTTCCTGTACTTTCAGCGAGTATCACAATTTATCTTAGGTTAAACCGACTTTGCTCTTCATTAGACTAAACTCCAGAGTGTCCAACAGTTTTGGTGCAGTATGGACCACTATATCTGGCCTTCTCCACTGTCTACACAGGACACAACTGTTATCACCCCCTCTCTGCACTCATCCCCACAGGGGGAAAAAAGGATGAATTATGCCCATGTTGTCACTGGAAGTTGGCTACAGAGTTTGACATGAGCTCCAGGTCATTGTGGGTGCTGAAGTCTAACATCAAATTAGGGGGTCCATGCTACCAGGAAAAAGGAGGGGAACAAACAATGGCCAGGAGCTCACACAGAGCTCCATGGCCAGATGGGAGTGGCAGCATCAATAAAGAAGGTGAGTGACATTCCAGCAGAGTTGATGCGGTTTCAGCCCAGCTGGACCACATGGATCCCAACCTGACACTGTCGTGCAATTGGCAGAGTGTCTGTGGCTGTCTGTGGGGCTAGTCCGGAGCATTTCTGCTGCAAACTGGCCATGGATTTACCAATCAATGTGGACACGCCTTCATTAATCTATCCTGGGCAACTGATCCATCATGATCTACTTTACAAGCAAAGAATATACAACATCACAGAACATAATCAGTCAGTTTTCATTTCAACCTTCTGAGAGATTTATCTAGTGGGAAGAGTTGTGATAGTATGAAAATACACTAACATATAACCATAGAAAGAAAGAAATTTATTGATTAGTCCTTAGGCCATATCACAATGACAAACCAAACAAAAAGGTTTGATAAAACATGATTACATTCTATATAGGGTTCTATCTGAGTCTCCCTTGTGGGGAGAAGG